CTTCTCTTTTAGCTTCCATAGAACATCATTGTAATCTTCCTTTGCACACATCCTGAACTTCAGTCATGAAAGCCTTCCCTACCTTCAATCTGCTTAAATTCAACTCTCCCCATGGTTTTCTTGGCATTTGAGAAGCTGTGTGTAGTGATGAAAAATATGCCTGAGGGCTGCCTGGTGATACTCTGAATTTGTGGACCTCCAGTGGGGCTTGTGCACTGCCCTGAATCCTGCCATGCTGCCCTACTCTACTACCTGTTTTCTCACTCTCCCCGTTTCTCTCTTGAACACACTTGGATCAGATCTTATTCCCAACCACTCCAGTGGCAAGGCTCCTGTCAAGATCAACAATGACCTTCACCCCGCTTAGACTTTGGCCATTTCTCAGTCCTTATTACCTTCACCTCTCAGCAATATTATAGATAATTGATTAATCCCTCTTTAAACACATGCAAGACCACACTCTCCTGATTTCCTTCCTATATAACTGGAATTTCTCCTCAGTTTCTTTCTTTGGAACCTCTTTTTCATCTCTAGGTACCAGATTTGCCCATGAATCAATATCAGAAATTTCTCTCCTACACTCACCTCTTAGGTATTGTCATTCAGTCTATACAATATTGTCGTCCACATTTAAATCTCTTCCTCTGAAAGGATATTATGTTGTGTGAACAGGAGTTAGCTAGACAAAGGTTAAGGGAAATCCTTTCTAGGAGAATTGTTTCATTTCAGGAAGAATGAAAATACAGAGTTTAGATATGAGCAAGAATTCTAGAGAAACTGGAAGAATTGTTTAGTCTCATTGACACCATAAATATAAGGAAGACTATCAGGATACATTAGCATGGAGAATATATGCAGAGATAAGATAAGGCAGGACCTTGAATGTCATTTTAAACCTTTTGTATTTTATGTGAAATGTGGTTTTGTAAATATCTCTTTTGCTATAGTGTAGCCCACTGATTAGAGTAGTGCAAACTAGAGAGCCCTGGAATAATCCAGGAAGAAATAACAGCGATCTGAATTAGGACAACATCCATGAAGATGATGGGAAGTAAACAGATTTAAGTATTTAGTGGATGGAAATTCCAGGACTTGGTGATGGATTGATTAGATATTGGGAAGAGGTGTGATATGGAGGATTCCAACATAAAACTTAATTTTAACTTAAACCACTGAGATAATAAACACAAATAAACAAGAAGGTTGCTGGGGAAGAAAAGAGAAGTTTTTGAGATGCTTTTGAGGTCACTATGAAGCATCAAAATATAGATGCTCTGCATGCTGCTAGATATATGAGTCTGGAAATCAAAAGAGAAGACATGTTCTGAAGTTATAGATTTTTATCAATATATGGATGGTAAATAGGAGTGGGTAATATTGCCTGAGGATAAATAATAATGTATGAGCAGGAAATTTCCAAGGATGGGGACAACTCTAATTCAGGTATGAGCAATGAAGATGAACCAGGAAAGAGGACCAAGAAAAAATAGAAATGATAGAAATATAGAGGAAAACCTGAGGAGGGTAATGTGATCAAAGAGAGTTTCAATAAGTTAGTGAGAGTGGTGGAATTGATACTAGTGGAGCAGATGATGCTGACGCTGATGTTGGTGTGAATGTTAGTGACGCTGAAGAATTAACAACCAGAAACATCCATTTATTTTCAGCTCGGTCCCTGAGGAACATCAGCCCAACATCCTCTCAGTCCTCAGTTCATGCTCTTGTCTAACATTACTCAGTTTAGACCCATGTTCTACCTCACAGGCTTTCCAGGATTGGAAGCCATCGAACACTGGATTTTCATTCCCTTTTTCTTTATGTACCTGGTGGCCATCTCAGGAAACTGTTTCATTCTGATAATTGTTAAGATCCAGCGGCGTCTGCACACACCCATGTACTGTCTACTCTCCCTGCTGGCCCTGACTGACCTGGGACT